GCAGGCTGGCTCCCCGCGGCCCACGCACAGTCCCGGTGCCTGCGGTGCATGGGGAAAATACGCAATTTTTGCACTGCAAAAAAAACCCCAAACCCCAATACCGCACTGTAAATAAGCGACTTGCAGTGCTCAGCCCCGGCTGCCCCCAGCACGGGACACAGCCTCGCACGTCGGGATGCGTTTCCTGCCCTGTCCACCCCCACAGAGCCACCGGCCGCTCCGGATGGGTGCTCACAAGCCGTGCCACAGCCGGGGCACTTCAGCTCAACCCATCCATGTCCCAGAGCTGCTTTGCAGGAGTTACAGGTCCCAGAGGCTTCCCACGTCCAGCTGCAAGGATGGAGGACAGCAGCTCTGCGTCCCCAGGGACAGCCCTTGAGCCCGGCCCAGGTAAAACTGCTCAGAATAAAGTGCAGAAAAGGCAGGAGGAAGCGGTGCAAACAGAGCAAACCCATCCCCCACGCGCGTGAAGCAACAGATCCGGCGCTCGCCAACGCTTCCAGAAGGTTTCAGAGCTGAGCAAAGGGCAGAGGGGAGATTCCGGGGCGTTCCCCGGCTCGTGCCACGGCTGCTCCCGAGCTGGCATTGCTCTCACCGGGAGCCACACAGGGATTCAGATCAACCAGGTCAACCAAGGACTCCTCATCTCAGCGAGAAAAGTGATGGTGGCTGTGTCAGGGCTGAGCACCACTGTTCCCCAGGTGAATACGGACACTGCCCTACGTGGGCAGCACCCCACAACGCTCACAGCGTGGCCGTGGCACAGCCCCACCAGGAACTGAAGCCCGAGCTACAGCAGTGCCTCCATGGGATGTCCCCAGAGGGGGACCAGAACCAGCCCCAAACCCTCAGCACCCAGCCCTGCCACGGGGGGAAGCAGCAGGGAGAGCAGGCAGGGGGTCACAGCATGGGCCTAGAGCTGGCAGATGGGATGGAGGGTGGGATGCGGGATGCAGGGTGAGATGCGGGATGCAGGGTGAGATGCGGGATGCAGGGTGGGATGCCGGGATGCAGGGTGAGATGCGGGATGCAGGGTGGGATGCGGGATGCAGGGCGAGAATGCGGGATGCAGGGTGAGATGCGGGATGCAGGGTGGGATGCCGGGATGCAGGGTGAGATGCGGGATGCAGGGTGGGATGCCGGGATGCAGGGTGAGATGCGGGATGCAGGGTGGGATGCGGGATGCAGGGTGGGATGCGGGGTGGGATGCGGGATGCAGGGTGGGATGCAGGGTGGGATATGGGACACAGGGAGGGATGCAGGGCACTCAAGGCACACCCCGCTGCCTGCACAGGGCTTTCTGCCCGCTTGCAGGCTCAGAGGCGCCCCCGCCTCACCTTGCCCAGCCGCAGCACCAGCAGCCACCGTCTCACTGGTGGGATAATTTGGACTGGTGTGGACCTATGTCTGAAGGCCCTGTCCTCACAAAATGAAGCCTGCAAAGGTATGTGAGTAACATCAGTGTGTGGCGCCTTCAAAAATCCATACGACACTTCACCAGTCTGCACACAAACTCTGCGCCTAACTAGTTTGCTAATTACTGCTGAGCTTCGTTTCCCATCCATGTGCGAGTCTGGTTGAGAAACCCACCGGAGAGCTGGGGAGCCGTGGGGCACGGGCTGGTCCTCGCCCTGAGCTTATCGAAGGGGCGGCCCAGGCTGGAGCCGGGCAGTGCAGCTCACGACAGTCTGCAGCTGCGGAAGTGCAGTGACGTGAGTCTAACCAAGCGAAACTTTAAATCACTTTGATTAAACTAATTTTGCTGCAGCTCAGCTAACAGGAAGAGCAAGGGATGGCGTGACTTTTTGTAGTCGTTTCCAGCCTTATTTTCTATGCATGTGGTAACCGTGTCCTTCAGCCTGTGCTTGGCCCCCTCCAAACGGGAGCATCAATCCCTCCGCACAGCCCTGGCCGGGCTCACGTGCTGTGGGTGCGGATGCAGCGTGGGTCCGTGCTGGTGGGGCTGCTGTGCATTATTCCCCACTCACCAGACAAAAAGATTGTTGATTTGAGCCGGAGATGCTCAAGAAGCCTTTCCCCGTGCAGAAAAAAATTGCAGCTCATTTCTCACCTCAGGCCACCACCGCAATTGTAGATAAGAGCAGTTAACACAAGGAAGAGGGACAAATAAAACCTCGGAGGGAAATTCCAGCCCATTTCCTTCTGGAGCCGCCGCGGGCGCAATGGTGCATGGAGCCCCACGTGTTCACCCCACGCACCCGCCGGGCTCCGCAAACCCACTCCTGCGCAGGACCCCCGGGAGCACCGGGAGCCCGTCCAGGGGCGGCGGGAGAGGAAAGGGGCCCCTCATGCCGTTCAGCTCTCTACTGCAAAAAGAAACTGAAACAAAGCTTTTTAGAGGCAGAAACCCCAGATTCAGGCGTTTTATGAGACTTTGGACCCGTACAAAGGTGACCAGAGGCAGTTCCATCTCCACCTGAGGAGGGCCTTCTCTGCTGTGAGGGCGGCAGAGCAGTGGCACAGGCTGCCCAGAGAGGTGGGGGAGTCTCCCCCTCTGGAGCCATCCCAAACCCGCCTGGACGCCGTCCTGTGCCACTGCTGGAGGTGCCCCTGCTCTGGTGGGGGGTGGGATGGGGGAGCTCCAGAGGGCCCTTCCAGCCCCCACCAGTCTGGGATGCTGTGAGGTTGCTTCAGCTTTCAGCGATGGGTGAGCAGATCTGGGCTGGTGAGGGGTAAAGACAGGAAGGAAATAATTAAAATATTTTGTAACACTCAGAAGAGATTACTTTCAGGTTGTAATGCAAATATTTTCACAGAGTTCTCCATAAGCGTACTGAAAGGGAAAACAACACATCTTGATGCCAGGACAGTGCCAAACTCTTGGAGCCCAGGGACTCCAGGGCATCCCAGTTACCCCAGCACTTCTCCCTGATGGCTGCAGTCCGGTCCAGTCTCGGGGGGAGATCCCAGTCCAACACCAGGAACTCACCCGCTGGGATTTGCCCTCTAATAGACCCTGGATTTTTTCAGACTATCTTACCCCTTTCTTTGCTATCCTTTTAAATTTTACGGTTTATTTCATAGAATTATAGAAACATCGAGGTTGGAAGGGATCTTTAAGATCACTGAGTCCAACCATCAACCTGACAGTGCCAAACCCACCCCTAAACCGCGTCCCTCGGCACTGCGTCTCCCCAATCTGTTTAATACCTCCAGTGATGCCATCTCCACCCTTTTTCTTTCCTTATTTGCCCCAACAGCAGGTTTTACCCTCCCCGTCTCCCAGCTGCCACTCAAACCCCGTCTGACCAACTGGGACTGTTCCCACCCGCGGTGAGGAACGGGCAAACCCCGTCAGCACGGGACGGGCAGCGAGAGGCGGCGCTGCCATGTGCCCGCGGGGGACGAAACCCCGCGGGTGCTGTGGGTGCCCGTCTCGCACCCGCTGGGAGAGCCAAACCTCGGCCTTGGCACCCGGGTTGTGACAAAAAGGATTGTTCCAGCTGGTGGCAGCAAAGCCTAAAAAATAAAGGCCAAGC